CGTCCATGAAGATGATCGACGGGGCTTTCGCCTCCGCCTGTTCGAACAGATCCCTCAGATTCTTCTCGCTCTCCCCCGACATTTTCGACATAATCTCCGGCCCGTTCACGCAGAAGAACGCCGCCCCTGTTTCGCTCGCGATTGCTCTGGCGATTAAGGTTTTCCCTGTCCCCGGCGGGCCGTACAGCAGAATTCCCCTCGGCGGTTTGACTCCAATTGCCTTGAAAAGCTCCGGGTGTCTCATCGGAAGCTCCACCGCTTCCCTGATCAGGGCGAGCTGCTTCCTGACACCGCCGATGTCTTCATACCCGATGTCGGACTTCTCCTCGTCCTCCCTCTTAACCGGCTCGCCGTCGCAGTAAATCTCTGTTTCCGGCGAGACGATGCAGAACTCCGGCGGGTCGGTCTCCATGACTTTGAAGTCCACGCTCCTCATCCCGCCGACGACGGGGAAGACGTCCCCCTTCCTCACGGGGCGGAAGTTGTCCTGGAAGTAAGGCTTCAGGTAAGCGCCGAACAGGTCACCGGTGATCCCTTCGACGGAGTCGTCGAAGGGGAGGACGTGGATCCGGCGGCCGTACGGCATGGCGGGGCAGCTGTGGACGGTGACCATGTCGCTGAGCTTGACGCGGAGGTTGAGGCGGACGACGCCGCTCATGAGGATCTTGTGCTCGTCGCAGCTGGGGTCGGAGAGGGCGACGCAGACGGTGTCGCGGCGGCGCTTGCCCTTGATCAGAATTGTGTCGCCGTGGAAGATGTCGAGTTGCTCCATGGTGGATGGGTGGAGGAAGACGCTGGTGTTGTCGTGTGCGCCGGCGGTGGGTGGCTCGTCGACGACCAGCCTGTTGGCCGCCTTCTTCTTCTTGTTGATTTCGTCCGTCGACATTGGCGCCGGTGGGGCAGTGTTCTCCGGAGACATCTTCAGCTTCTTGGACGGTGGTTGTGAATCAACGCCCATGAAAGTTGAAGGTGAAATCGAATGTGTGGGAGCTATTGGCAGAGCTTGGGGGTAAATTTATAGAATTTGAGGATCGCAGAAGAGCAGAGATTCAACGCTTTCCTCTTCCGATCCAGTTCAGGAATCCGAGTTCCGCAAGGACTAGGAGTAGGAATTCAAGGCTTACTCTTTGAGGGTATTCTTTTCTTTTTCCCTCCCTTTCCGTGTAGGAGTTTCGACGATTATAATAATTACTCCCGGTCCAACTGATGCTTATACTTCTAAAGTTTACAATTTGGTCCCTTAATTTATTATATATTATGAACAATATGTTCCAGATTAGTTACACTTGCATGTTTAACAACTTGGGCCTATTTTTGGTTAAATCTGCTACTCCTTCATCCTATGGGCCTAAACTACATTGTGGATATGCTTATTTGAATTAAGTCGAGCGCAGCTCTAAAAGCCTACACAGTTTTTCGGATTGGTTTCCCTCACTGCCATGGATCATAAACTTCTCAAGTGTGGGCTTGTGGGCTTTTTATAGCCAGCCAGCTTTATATAGATGTCCAACTCAATGAAATAGTACAACTTCATCCACTTATGTGTAGGATGGCAATTAAATCCAAAATCGGTAGGTAGTCGATCGCTCTCGACCTAGTTAATGCTGTGAATCCATCGATTGGTTAAGTGATATTTATGGGTAAAATTCATAAAATAATTGACTCAAATGTGTCACACAGGGCGATCCTTGTCACCAGCCTTTATGTCACCTGAGACAGCTATCTCCCATTTTTACAGTGAATTGGGAGAAGATGGTCCTCTGTCTTTCAAAGGAAGGTGGAAACGTTCTAGACTCTCCCGTCTCATATTCATACCCTTCCAAAAAGAGTATATGTATATACAAAAAAAAAAATATGATTGGATGCTAACAGTAGTGATTGTCTAATGAACTAATAGATGTCGTAGAATTGGATGTTTGAATTTGAATTAACAATGGTTATATTTTTGTTGACTTTATAGTTTATTAACTCTATTTTTATGTTGTAACAGAAAGATGCATGTTTAGTTAGCTTTACTGTATTAATTCTATGTATAATAAGTTAATAACATTGAATATAAATAGCGTGTATCTAAAAATCTCTAATATGGAGATGGAGTTGCAAAACCTCTTTTGAGTGAATATGTGGAACGTATGAATTTAGTTTTTAAAAGGAGAATGTGAACGGTTTAGTTTTTTGAAAATGAGAATGTGAATGGTTTACAAGAATCAGGGGTGGACCTAGGATGTGCTTAACCTTGTCAATTGACAAACCTTGTTTCAATTTTGAGACAAAATTCTTTTATGAATTTTTATTTTAGTGATGGTAATATTTGAACTCAAGATTATTTGACAATTTTTGATGATTTTATTTTATCGTTGAATACCGTTAATGTAATTTCTAGAACTGACAGTAAGAAAAATCTATCTCAAACCCGCCCATGACCATCATAGTTGTATGACATTCTCATGATATCTGAGTCTACAATCAATACAATCAATTTTGAGGACAAAACAGTTTTGGATGCTAATTACATATTTCTATTAAATCAACAAAATTACATATTTCTATTAAATCAACAAAATTACATATTTCTATGATCAATGGGTCCAAAAAGATGCTCTTGGACAAAATTAATATCATTATTAGCAGTAGTTCCTCGATTATTGCCTACTGATCAGCTTGTCGCGTATGACCGGGCCAGTGATCTGAGCCCCAGCTGATATGATATCTCATAATAATAATAATAATAATAATAATAATAATAATAATAATAATAATAATAATAATAAGATGCCAATTTTCTATGTTTGGTATAGGGAACCCGATTCGATCAATATGAAATGATACGAAGAAACTGTTATAATATATATATAAAAGAGCAATTCTGTAGTGCCGTCACTATATTGATACAGTCCATTTTATACCGGCTACACCCGGTCTTCGATTTTCCCCGTTAATGGGCTCTACCTCAACGGGAACAAAGAAAAAATGTTTCCAATTTTTTGTATTTTAAAATAATGTTAAATACTTTAAACGAAGGTTATGTAATATGTTGTACTTTTGTTCCATTATTTTTTTTTTCAATTTAGACCCTGTAATAAAACAAAAAAAATATAGATTTTGGTTGGAAACCTAAAAAATACATATGAGTAAGTTTTAATATATATTTTTTTAATTATAGGTACTTAGTAAATAGCCACTCGGAAATTAGAGTTGTAAACATAACCTATTTATATCGTTGTATGATGTACTGGAAGATTAACGAAATAAGAAAACCTAAAACATAAGAGGGAGATCCTCACCATGGACTTGTGTCATACTGACGATACCACGATAAAAAAGGATCTTGTATTCTTTACTTTCAGTTTGATCTTTTGACAATTTTTACCGTGTATTCAATTTTTTTGGTAATCATGTATTCAAAAAATTAATTTATATTATTAGTGACGATGCTAGAAATTCAAACTAAAGCCATAAATTCGAACCATTTGAATAGTGATAATGGGAGATGGGATAATATCTTATGAATTACTCTATTTCTCAAAAACTTTACATCTAGTTTACCTACATTTATAACCCACTTTCACTAACGTGGCTTCGCCGTTGCTAAGCTGACAATCAAACCCGCAACCATGAATAACTAACCAACCCGACCTAAATCAATGAAGAGAATCCCTGCATTGACTTGGTATTGGCGGGGAGGTGGGGGGGGGGGGGGGGTGGGGAGTGCTGGTAAAACCGCAAAAAGTTTGAAGTGGATGGGGTGATATGATTTTAGACTCCCCCGATTTTATTCAGATACCTGTGGGTAGTACCTGTTTCATTGCTCGTACATACAACATTACTATATCTAAAATTTAACGTATAGATATTTAATTATAACACTAAACGGATCTAGTAAATCATAAAATTAACAAAGATACTATTTAATTACAAATTTAACGCATTTAATCCTAAAATATTCATAACCCATAAGAAAAAGTATAATGTTAGCCAAATCAACTAGGAAGTTATTTTGTGACAACACCCCCTGCCACTAAGGGAATCAACTAGAAAATGGACATCTTTACCGAACTCAAAACCTAATAAAGGGCCAAGAAAATACAATAGAGCATGCTAAATTATATAAAGATTTTACACTTCGTCACTGATGCAAAGTACAATCAAATTATGCTTAACTTCCATTACCACTTCATCAACACTTGGAATAAATAACTATAATTTTTTAAAAGAGAGAAATAAGTAAAGGACTGGAAGAAGAATTGGAGGGAGATAAATTATTATTTGGTTTGGGTGACCATTCAATTACATTTCAATATTTTTTGGAATTACACTTCTTTTTATTGAGATGTTATATTTGATTTATTTATTTTTTATGGGCTAAATTACAAGTTTGGTCACTTAAATTATACAAATCTTTCATGTTTGCCACTCGAATTACTTTTCTTTCTTATTCGTCACTAACTTTATAAATCGTTTCACCATTAGTCACTGGCCGTTACACTCCGTTAAATTTTTCCTACGTGGCAGTCAACTATAAAGTTTGACTGTTAAGTAGATGAGGTGGAAATTAAAAAAAATTATATTTCCATCTCATCTTTCCACTTACTTTGTCTATATGATTTATCATATTAATTATTTATTAAAAATTAATAAATTAAAAAAAATAATCGGCACATCACAATCTCCTACGCTTGTCTTCGATCGTCTTGAAAATTTTTAGTCGTCGGTCGAATGGAGAGCTGCCGCCTTCCTCCGACCATCGTTCTCCATCTCCAAATCTCATCGCCAGTCACAATCTGTTGAAATTCGTCATTGCTCTTTTCAACTTAAGATCCGGTCGTGGGCCTTCATCTCCTCATCAGTAACCAAAAAACAGGCAGATTTAGATCCAGATCCAAGGAACGAATGAAGACGGTGAAGCCGGACCAAGGGTTCTCGAACACGTAAGACAAGGAGGCGGCGCATCGAAAAACCAGTGCTCTCAATTCGTCGACCCGTTGAGAAGCGAGTTGATGCTATTGGTTCTCAATCTTTCCCCACTTGGAGAAGAGGAAGCGCCAGAGCCGGAGGCTCCCCGATTCATCTTTGCCTTGAATCCTTCCTCTGTCTGGAGCGAACTCACGTAATCGCCCAACAGCCCCGCCAACTCCGGAAGCTCCCCTGCCCCCGACTCGTCTACCCAGGCGGTCGCCCACTAGACCATATTCCCGATCAAGTCGCCGTAGAGTGGTGGGTCGGTCACCCCCCACAGGTTCCCGCCTCCACCAGGACGGAAGTCCTCTGGAAGTCCTCGGCGTCCCGCCGACGACAAATTTGGAGGGCGCCATGCTTGGTTTCCATCTGAAGCAAGACACCACCTCCACTCTCGAAAGCTTGATTGCTTTCCTCCCCTGTTTTGACTTTGCCCTCCGCCGCCGCTCGATAACCCAGGCTCTCAATTTTGAGGTTGAATTGGAATTGAACACGAATCGCCTCGTGACGTAGTTCCCTTCTGTGAACCAAATCTTTTCCAAAACGATCGAAGACAAGCATAGATTGTCGTGTGTAGATTATTATTTTTTGTATTTTATTTAATTTTTATTATATAATTAATATGATAGATCATATAGACAAACTAAGTGGAATGATGAGGTGGATTTTTTTTAATTTTTTTAAATTTCCACGTCATCTAGTTCACGGTCAAATTTTATAGTTGACTGCCACGTAGGAAGAATTTAACGGAATGTAACGGCCGTTACTAACGATGAAACGATTTGTAAAGTTAGTGGCTAATAACAAAGAAAAGTAATTCGAGTGGCAAACGTGAAAGATTTGTATAATTTAAGTGACCAAACGTGTAATTTAGCCACTTTTATGTATAAAAGTACTCTTGGTGGGGTGAGTATGAGTATGACTATATGGAAGGGAGTCTAAAACCATACAACCTCATACCTATAAAAGTTTTTGTGTGTTTTAACTTTTAACCATACTCGTCTCATACTCAGTCAATGTGGGGATTCTCTACGTTAACAGGTTGGGGATGATAAGATACCCATGGTTGTGGGTTGATTTTCATCCCTAACAACGATGGAGCCACGTTAATGATAGGGAGTTATAAATATAGGTAAAAGTACATCTAAATTTTGTATTTTTTAAAATTGTGTAATTATTAAAATATTAGTCAATCTCCAATTATCACAGTTCAAATATCTTGATTTATATTTTAGCTTCAATTCAATTTCTAGCACCATCATTGATAATATAAACTTAAATTTTTTTAGTTGAATAAATTTAATTTTCTTGAATACTCAGTATAAATATTTTACAACCGACTCATATTTACTTTGGTTTCCAACAAAATTTTTGCATGTGTTGTTTTTTCTAGGGGTTGAGAAAATTGGGAAAAAAGTACATAACATGAAAAAAAATATTACATGACTTTGTATTTGTGTAAAGTTACGGGAAAAAAAAACTGAACATATTTTTTCTTTGTTCCCGTAGCCAAGTAACGGGGTTTCGAGAAAAAAAAGTAATCCAATAACGGGGAAAGCCCAAGACCGGCTGTAGCCGGTAAAAAAGGGACGGTATCAATACAGTCCCGACACTAAAGAATTCCCTATATATATATAAACGTAAATTGCTTTAGGATGTGCCTACGGTGACTTGCACTTTCCGGTCGACCTCAGTTAGGATTAGGTCGACCTCATTTAGAATTCGGTCGACCTCATATAGGATCTGGTCGACCTCATATGGGATCAGGTCGACCTAATCTGTTGTTTCAATGTAAAAACAGTTCATGGTGCATACTTTGGATATTCATATCATACAATTGGCTAGATGGAAATTGAAGACTAATGACTTGTTTTGAAGCTAAAGTGTCCCTCTACATATTGAAGTGATTGAGAGCTCGATAGGAAGTCCAGAAGACCATTTTTGAACCTCATCAAAAGGCTATGCCAAAACTGGGAAACTGCCTGGAAATGGCTCAAGTCTGGAAACGTGTTTGTGAAGCCTATTTTGGAGCTCAATTCGAGAAGCATGAATGTGAGTTGAGTACATGAACCTCTACCACGTTAAATTAGGTATGTTTTTATACAAATTCAAGGCATTGGATGAAAGATTGGATATCTGTAAGGCTTCAAACAAAAGGGTCGAAGTTGCTACAAAGGCTGTTTTTCTGGCAGACAAACAAGCTGCCAGAAAAACAGCCTTCGTAGCAACTTCGAGTCTTTTGTTTGAAGCCTTAAAGATATTCAATCTTTCATCCAATGCCTTGACTTTGTATAAAAAAATACGTAATTTAACGTGGTAGAGGCCCCTGGACTTGACTCGCATCCATGCTTCTCAAATTGAGCTCCAAAGTAGGCTTGACAAACACGTTGCCAGACTCTGCCATTTTCAGGCAGTTTCTCAGTTTTGGCATAGCCTTTTGGTCAGGTTCAAAAATGGTCTTCTGGACTTTCTATTGATCTCCCAAGTACTTTAATGTGTAGAGGGACACTTCAGCTTCAAAACAAGCCTTTAATCTCCAATTTTCATCTAGCCAATTGTAAGATATGAATCTCCAAAGTATACACCATGGAACTGTTTTTACACTGAAACAACAGATTAGGTCGACCTAATCCTACATGAGGTTGACCGAAAAGTGCATGTCACCGTGACATGCATGTCACCGTAGCAAAGTCCATTGCTTTATTGTTGCCTAAATAATTGCATTTTGATATCCAAGTTAATATATATATAAATAAATATAAACGTGAAGTTGGTTTACTGTTGCTTAAATAATTGTTTTTATATCCCAAATTTAATTTAATTACAACTTAGTCACTATAATGTATATTTTACATTTTGATACCCCAAATTTAATTTTAATGTAAAATCATTGAACAATTATGTTTTGGTATATTAATTTTATGAGTTTTCGTACCTATAATTTTTTAAATTTACATATTGGTAGAATATTTAGATTTACTTGAATCTATGAATCCTATCCACCATAACATAAAAGTATAAATTTAGTTTGTACCATGCAAGATGTTGTATCACTCAACTGTAAGAGAAGATTCGACCATTTTGGTCTTCCATGGGATTTTCACTTCAAAAAAATATGTATGTTATCCATTTGAAATAATATTACCATTTTTTAAAAGAACGTTCTATTCGGTGACGTGACAACATATTCAGTAAAATAGAATACGAGTACATAAAGATATTGGTCTGTATGAAGTTTTTGTATGACATTTTAATAGAACAATGTTTAATAAAAATCAACAGTAATAAAACTAATAATTTAAAAGTTAATATAAGTATAAAAACGACCAAACATTTCCATCATTTACTTCCTCTTCGTTTCATTTTTCACTCGCCTTCCATAACCCTTTCTTTATTTCTTTCTTTGCATTATTCGTTTAACAATAATAAGTATACTAATTTTATATATTCTAATCACAAGTATGAACGGGTCCATACATGACTTACCAACAGTCTAGAGAATTTATAATTGAACTATGAATCACTAACTTTTTCAGCTCAATGTTTTTCCCCCCGTTGAATCAGTTTCCTCTTCTCATTAGAAAAGCCAAACATATACAACGAATTTGGGCCAAGCCCAAGCAAGAACGAGAGGAAATCTCATCTCATTCCCAAAAAGCAGGAACCTCTAGTCCTCTACTACATCAGCCACCTACAACTCAAATCAAACCCAATGCCTGTAAATCACTTCTAGTAGACACTTTACAAGTACTGAGGTATCTTAAGTCTTGTAGGATAGCATTTCCCACCACCACTGCACTACGAGGCGCTTCACCATGGACTCGCTTACACCTTTCCTTCCATATGCCTGAAACACATAAGCACCAGAGCCATCCCACCATTCTCCCAACTGCTGTCTTCTGCGAGCTAAGCCGACAAGCAGCAGAAACTGTGTCCAGCCACGTCCCTCGATACCACTGCGTGTAGTGGAGGATTCCCAGCAGCTCCTATGAATAAGCACACTGGAAAAATAAATGGGTTCTTGATTCAGGGCTCTTGTTGAACAGAACACAAGTATCATCAACCAATTTACCCCATTTGAGCAGTTTATCACGCATTACGATACTGTCTTGCAAAACACAACCAAGTAATAAAGCTAGGTCCAGGGATATACCCCTTCCCCCAAACCAGTTTGTCCCACAATACCTCAGGCCACTTCTTCCTAAGAGATTCCCAAACCACTCTTATAGTGAAACACTGCATCGAAGTACCATCCCAACAAAGAGATGCCCCCTGCCCTGAAAAATGAGTTTGGATAGTAGAACGCACTTTGAGTATTCGTCTCCAAGCCCACGAACTACTAGAAGAGGACCTTATTGTCCAAATACTACCAGTTTTCACCCTATACTGCATAATCCAAGCAACCCAAATTGTTCCACTTTGCATCAGGAGTAACCAAATCTGCCTTATTGTACAAGCCTGATTCTAGGTAAACAATTCCTTCAAACCCAAACCTCCTTCTTTCCGAGGTCTTGCTATTCTGTCCCAACCAACTTTTGCTCTGCCCTCCTCACCTCCATGTCACCGAAAATCTGTACATATTTTATGCACTCTCTTAAGAACATTTTTGGGTAACAAAAAGACTTACATCCAAAACTGTAGAACCCCCATCACCACTAGGGATGGCAACAAAACCCGAACCCACGGGTACCCACCCGACCCAACCCTGTCAACGCGGGTAAAATCCGTGTTGACGGGTTTTGGACCGGGTTTGGGTTTAAACCCTTTCACTATTCACCGGGTTGGGTTTGGGTTTAGGTAAACCCGACCCATGGGTACCCGCCCACACCCATATAATTAATTTTCTCGGCATATTTAATATTTTAAACAACTAATCTTATTTATATTCGTGGAGATATGCCTAATTTTTTCTTTCTAGTTATGTAATATGAAATTGATTTTATCGAGTGAAGAGTGAAAAACTTAATTGAAAGGAAGAAGCTTTCAATTAATCATGTTATTAATGGATAATTTGTGATTTGCTTCAATTTTCTCGAGTTTTCTAGATTGGTGTTGAACAATTTGTATAGTTTTTTTTTGTCAAAAGATATCATATATTGATCAGAACAGAAGATAACTACACCCTGGAAACCAGCCAGGTCTGGAAATCAAAGAAGCGACTCATAGTCGGATACAAAGAGAGGGGAACAATTTGTATAGTTAATTTGTGATTTGCTTGAATTTTCTAGAAGGGTGTTTTATATATGGATAATTTGTATTGCGAGATTGATATTTGACTTTAATTTTGATAGGAATTTGTTATTGTGAATTTTTTACGACAAAAACCCGTGGGTACCCAGCGGGTTGGGTTGGGTTTGAGTTTTTCAAACCCAGTGGGTTTTACCCCGGATTTTTTCACGGATAAACCCATGGGTTTGGATTTGGGTTTGGCAAAACCCGACCCAACCCGACCCATTGCCATCCCTAATCACCACTGTGGATAACAACTGTAACCTTCCTGCATAGCTGAGTTTTTTCACTTTCCAGTTCTTAATCTTCTGAGTAATCCTGTCCACCAATCTATCACATTCTGCTGACGAAAGTTTGCCAAAAATAAGTGGAAGCCCCAAATATCTAACTGGGCTTACCTTCCTGGAAACCAGACAGCTCCAGTGCACTGTTTTTAAAAACTATAGAGCTACCCCCAAAATACAGTTCACACTTCCTATGGTTACATTGCAATCCAGATAATTCATAAAACTCCTTAAGGACACTCTGGACATCAACAATAGCCCTAGCAGACCCCTCAGAAAAAATCAACATGTCATCAGCAAAGCTAAGGTGGGTTAAACCCACTCTTTTGCACTGTGGATGATATGGAATGAGTCATGAAATAGCTGCAGCATTTAGGAGCATAGATAACCCTTACATTGCAATAGTAAAGAGGTAAGGGGACAGGGGATCCCCCTGTCTAACCCCCCTCTTAGCACCAAAATACCCACATAGTCCACCATTCACACATATGCTATATCGAGTTGTTTTTACACACAATGAAATCCATTTGCAGAAGGGAGCAGGGAACCCCATTTTCAGCTCAATGTTGATTCCAATTAAAAATAAAGATATATGGTTATTACTTATTAAAAATTCGTCATTTTCTACTATGCGATTCGAAAGCATGAATTTTTAAGCGAGTTCCAGTTTTTATTTCTTTTCCTTCTCTTTAGAGTTTTTCTTTTTCACCCGGGATAGAATTTTCAACAATTATACATGGAATGTTGGCTAGGTATCTATACCATTTCAAATAAATAGTTTCCATTTTTTTTTCTAAAAAACAAATATTTATCATCTTAAATACATCATCATAAAAGGAATTAAGCCTCATCTTAAATACTTGTATTATTACTGACAAAATTACTAATAATACAATCAAAACACCATAACAGCGCGACATAATACATGCCCAATGCCCATAGGCCATCTCCATCCCGGGGCATCGCCATCTAGTTAAAACTGAAAACTCGATCCACTTGATAAATTAAAGTAGTGAACTGAGGTATAGAAGTTTGAATATTTCTTCTATAAAGAAATTATTATACAAATACAACCTTGGTAGCTCGGGAAATAAGCATAAATATGGCTTGACTTCATAGAGTGAATTATATGCATGGTTGAGGACTAGCTAGGCATTTATATTCTACCGTTTAATAAATATAACTTTTATTAATGTTTTACAATAACTCAAATTATTAGAACAAGTTCATCCTAAATTTTGTACAATTCCCTTATCGCTAATCAGCCTGCCGCTGAAACTTACTGTTTATGGAGCTATCTATTTGATAAGGTTTTTTGTTATCACAAACGGGCCAAACATCGGAACTATAATAATACAGATGACCAAGCTATAATAGCTTCGTAATTATTCAAGTTCTTCAACATCACATCTCAAACTATCGGTAGTAACTTGCCATAAATCCTTGATGAAATTTTTACCCATATATCCTAGTGAACTTTTAAAATTTCAAAGTGACGCTGACATTTATTTATTGTATATTATAAATATAATTAATTAATTCACAACAAAAAAATAATATAAATATTCAATTAATGTGCAAATATGAGTTAAATTTTTTATACTCTTTCTTATGTTCTAGTTTCCTTTGACATTTTCATGGAACATATAATTCTTTGTTCCCCAGTTCTAATATATGTTACTATATGTTACTTTTGAAAAGGAGGACAAAGAATTGGTAACCAATATTTGTTACGTTAAAAAAGTTAAACGAAATTTTCTCATTTATTGTTATTGTCTTTGTGACAACATTATGTTTATTAGTACGTATTGTCCTTGTTTTGTGTACATATCATAAACATGACAAACAAATAGAAATGATAGTATGATAATTTTGGACTTTAAGTTCTAAATCTCAACAAACAAAAGGATTGTTAGAAAACCATAATGCCTCAAATCTTTGATTTTTTTAATTACAAAACCCTTATTTTTAAATCCATGAAGCAAAGGAAGCGTAACTCTTTATTTATTGTAATACCATGACCATTATCCTTACACAGTACACACACATCCTTATAAATGGTACCAATGGTGCCGTGGCGTTGATGATCAGTGCAAGAGGAACATCTTGTACCAATAAGCCGAGTACTTGAGGTACCTCTTGAGATTGTTGTTGAAATCAATGTAAATCATCCCGAACCGCACCTCATAACCCGCGTCCCACTCGAAGTCGTCGAACAAAGACCACGCGTAGTACCCTTTCACGTTCACTCCCTCTCTGCACATAATTTGTACATTACACTTAGGCACAACGTGCATGCATGAATGTACCCATATTAATTAGTTTGAAAAAATTTACTTGATAGCTAGGAGAAGGTTCTGCAGGTGTAGATGGAGGTACTTGATCCTCATCCCATCTTTGATGAACACACTCCGAGGCAACGTGTCGTTAGTAGCATCGGCCAGACCTACGTTACGTACATACATCATATACCTCCTACCACAGTACTATCTCATAATTAATATTAATGCGACGAGAAATACAAATTCAGGATATGTATGAATGTATACCATTTTCAGTGATGTAGATTGGGGGATTCTTGTACTTCTCTTTTACATACCGCACTAGCCAGTAAATTCCCTTAGGGTAGATGAACAGCCAATTCAGACCTGTCTGCAAGTAGTATACATAACAACAACAAAATCATGTCGAGCCTAAAAAAAAAAAAACATTTGAAAAAAATTATAATAATTCAAGTAACATACCGGTGTACCAATAGGAACCCCAGCCTTGGAATCTACATGCAAGTGGGCAATTAATTACGCAAACAAGTAATTTCGCATTTTGAAATCAACAATCATTAACCCAAAATAAAAATAAAAATGTCACACTTACTTGTGAATATGATTTGAGAATCGGAAGAGTAGCTGGCGTTGACCCCTTGAAGGACCGGATTATGGGCAGCGTAATTGGTAGTATAGTAATTGACTCCCATAAAATCCAACGACCCTCGCAGCATGCGAGACTGCTCCTCGGTAAACCGGGGCAGTCTTTTTCCGACCAGTCTCTTCATGCTGGTCGGATAGTCGCCATAAGTAATAGGATGGGCATACCATCCGAAGAAGAAGTCGAGCGCCCTCTCCGCGGCCTCCCAGTCGGCCGCGGATTTGGGAGATTTGGGCACGAACCAGTGGGTGACTAGCGTGATTCCGATTTCCCCCTTTTGGGCCGACTGGTACTTGGACTTGTAGAGCTGGACCGCGGCCGCGTGGGAGAGGAGCAAGTTGTGGGCCGCGATGTAGGGCTCGGTGGCCGAGTTGCCGACCGTGCAGTTGCCCATGTAGCGCGAGCAGTGGCCCGGCGCGAAGCTCCCTCCGTTGTAGCCGTTGACGCTGTAGGAGTAGGGCTCGTTGAGGGTGCACCATTTCTTCACCCTGTCGCCGAATAGCTTGAAGCACAGGTCGGCGTAGTCACGGAAGTCGTCCCTACAATACGAGTAGTATACAGTAAATCGACTGTTAGTCTTTTGTGCACAATACGCGAGAACGTCTTAAAGACATCGCGACCTAGCTAGTACACGGTGACTTACACAACGTTGGAGCTGAGGAAACCGGAGTACTGATCATCGAGCGCCTGTGGGAGGTCCCAATGGAACAAGGTGACGAAGGGCTTGATACCGTTGGCCAGGAGGTCGTCGATCAGCCGGTTGTAGAATTTCACTCCCAATGGATTCACCCCGCCACTCAGTTTCCCCTCTGTCACATGAAAATTGATTACCACGATTAATAATAAGACGAAGGATCATGTAATATTTGATTTCCATGATTGATTATGCAATATATTGTGAGGTGAAGTGATCAACTTAATTAATTATAATAATCAGTTAATCACCAGAAAATTTGTCATTATAATGATCAGTTAAATAAGTTAACTTACTTGGCAATATCCTGGACCAGGAGATGGAGAATCTGAATGAGTCCAATCCCATCTTTTTCATTAGCTTGATGTCATCCTTTTAACGTGTAAAATAGGAGATACGACTTTCATTAATTATTCTTCTCTTAAAATAATAATCATCATAGAAAGAAACCCTTGAAGCGTGTAACCTCGCATTTGATTATTTTATTTTCTACTGGCTTATAACCCGGCCCGTTGATCGGAATGTTCCTATTTGATTATTTGTATTTTTATGTTACATTTAAGTCTATCAACCCGTTTAATTTTATTGACAATTCTTCGATCTAGATGATATATAAAGAAAGAATATATAGGTCGAACTTTTGGAGAAATAAGAATATAAAATATAAAAATGATTGATCTCTTTTTTATAATGATAATTAAACCCCAATTAAAATGCTATTGGTTAGTTGATTGTCAAGAAAGATAGAGTACAAAAGCTCATTGGAATTCTCACACCCCATAGATAGTTTGAAACACAATTTTAAACCTCACAACCCTACATAAAGGGTTCAATGCTCTCCTTAGGAACAATATGCCACTAATCAAAAAGAAATGGAGAGTTGTTGATTCAAGTCAACTATATACTAACAACTCAATTAAGAGGGGACCAATAAAACTTGAGAGCAAACGCTAAAAATTAGGGTTACCTCCAATATGCTAATAAACTCGATCGAAGTAATAAGACACAAAATTAGACACTCCGTATATATCAGTTCCAGTAGGTTGAATAAAGAATCGACCTAGCTGCAAAAACCATAAACCTAAAGGTCCAATAGTCACCACTCTCTGTTGTAGAACCAAATTTTTATCTCAAGAGATATATGTTTCAATAAAAAATTTAATCTCTAATCCTCCTTCTACAACTCCATTTATTGAACTCCATTCTATTTGTCATGGATTGATATCGGAGTTGAAATCTTCTACTTTCCTAGCTTAAATCCCCTATAATAAAATCGTAGTGCCAAGAGATACCAAAAGATTGATTTCAAAGGCGGCCTTGTATTGAAAAGTGAAAGGGGCGTAAACTATTGCACGATAGAGGGAATTTCAGAGGAAGTTAAAAGAGATAAGAACAAAGATAAAAAAGCACTAAATTTAAATTTAAATTGAAAATTTCAAGGATACAACACGCAATAACATAATTAGTTTCTTCTATGGTAGCCAATTACCAATCTACCTTTAGCAAAAAATTAAGGCGAGAGCAAAAAATTTAAAATTGAGAAAATTACATGAAACTCTAGCTATTATGAAAACTGAAGTATCAAGCACCATAAAAATATATACGGTAGACTTAGTGGGCTTGGTAATCATGATGGAAAATTCATCCAATTTTCAGAGTCTAACTTTGTGTATGCTTTGTACTAAAAAAGATACAACAAATTTGTTTAGTGTAATTGGTTGTGATTGTTGTCTTTGTTTTAAGGGACCCGTGTTCGAATCCTCATATTGATATTTTTATATGAGATAAATATTTAATTGTAAAGACAAAAATGTCCTTCCTACTTTCACTCTCGTTGCAGAAAATTTAAAATGGAGAAAAGTTCACAAAACTCTAGCATATATTATTGGAAGAGAAATTATTGATTATTGTACACAAAGTCATAAACACTAGAATATAAATACAAACATAAAATATTTTTCGCATTCCAACTCCCGATCAATTAAATCTTACATCCATAAACATTTACAAAAACATGTTTTTACTTACCGCATATCGATGGTAGAAATCATCAGCTACATCTCCATTACTCCGATCCCATATTTTCTCTGGACAGATTGAAGCCCACACCACACATATATCGCTCAGTCAAATTGACCAGAATTACATAAAACAAAATCTACCAAAGAAATGCTGAGAATCATAATTGTCAGAATATATATAACATTTCGTTATTTATTTATTGGGTTAGTCTCCTGATCTAGAGTAATGAAGGGTATTTAATTAATTGTAGTTGGAATATATCGATCGAGGAAGCCATTTATGATATGGCAGGTGGAGGCTCCATCTTCCACATGCATATACATATACTATATCTCCTGCAATTTTTGTGGACTTTTAATCCATGTTTGATAAATCCTATCCTACCAACGGGTAATATTTCTTATCAGAATTTAAACCAGTAAACAATTTTTAGTGGTATGAAACGACCGTCCGACGACGACGGACCTGGGTGCTCCCGGGTGAAGTTGTCCCAATTACTCTGCCCTTTCCCGTCCATAAAGGCACCTCCTTCAGACTGCACGTTACGTGCAATTCGATCATAACACATATATTATGCAGTAATATTAATATGGTAGGTATATATAACGAACCTGGTAGGCTGCCGTACCGGCTCCGAACACAAAGCCCGCCGGGAAGCTGCTTCTGTTGAAGGAAAAGGTTATGTGCTGCTGCCGGTCAGGCTGGGCAGCCGGCGGCGGCAGGATTGGTGATGCTGCAGCATCGGTATTAATGCTCATTACCAACAAACCAGCAGCAGCTGCCATGAAGCACAGCTGCACAAAAACAAACGGAACCATTTCTTGGCTATTATTTGTGAGTAGCTACTAGCTACAGATTGTAAACTATATGGTTACTTATATAGATGAGATGCGAACCTGGCATGGCACCCGAGTCATGACAGACAGAGACAGGTATGCGTATTATTATTATTTAATGACGGGATTATCGATCGAGGGACCCCTTTATATAAACTAATTAACCATGTCCTCTTGTCTTAATTTTATTTGGCTCATAATTAGGGAGAGGACAGAGTATATATGGTATCCATATACTGAAACTAGGCAAACTTTGGAAGTCAATTGTTCAACAGTAACACCATCCCATCGGCTTTCACAAAGCCTATTTCAAAGTGTCAAATCGATATGATATCGGTATATCACATTACCAATTATCGGTATCTTAAATATCGAATAATGCACTAGATCATCCAAATTTTAAATAAATTTGATCTACCAGTTTCAAAATGGGTAAATTGCAAGGTTGGTAACTGAAATTATTATAAAGTTTCATGTATGGTCACTAGAAATACTTAATTCCGTTCATAGTCACTAATTTTACATTTTCGTTTCATTTGTAGTCACTCTCCGTCCATTTCTGTTAATTTTTGCCTACATGGCAGTCAACTCTTATAGTAAACTGTTAAATGTGTGACGTGACATTTAAAAAATTAATAAAATAATAAAAATTAATTTCAAATTTCCACATCATTATTGTAATTAATAAAAAATAAAAATTGAAAAATAATTAATTTTAGTCCCTCCGATTCACCTCTCTCTCTCCTCTCTCACAGTCGTCGTTCACTCTTATGCCGCTAGATCGCCGCCGAATCTTCCAAATCCCTAGACGTTGCCGCTCAATCTTTGTGCGATGTATCCGTTCACTCTTCGGTCCTTTCACCCCTCTCACGTCCTCACCATCATCAATCCCTCTATCAATCTACCTCCTCCATCCCTCTCCTTTGCCACTTCCCCGGCCGCTGTCGCCTGACGAAACTGCCTCCGTCGCCAACGTCACAGAGGCTTTCCTCTCCTGAGCCTCCTCCCGCCGGTTGACATAGTGTACTAGTGGTGAAACAAAGAGGTCGGCAGCGAGTCCCCTGGCGTAGCCGAGAGTCAAGGCAGGGTAAACGTGATGGGCCGGCGGCAATCAAGGCTGCATGCGCGGAAGAGGAGGATGAAATCCCGGAAGGTAGCCTCGCCGCCGACGGCGGTGTTGTGAGCATTCTGGTCGCGCCGACGAACTTCTCGATTTGTCTTTGTTTCCATATACTTGTGCCCTAAGGCGGGACCGGATCACCTCAGTAACCCTTTCATCAGTAACCATCAGTAACCCCTTCCCCTGCCCCCACGTGTCAGCCTTTTTCTTTTATTAAAATTCAACACGGAGGGGTAATAGGGTAAATTGTACCTCCTATTTAATGCTGACGCTGATGACGCTGACGCTCTGACATGGATCCCACTCTCCCACCCCACCTAGTTCTCCTCTCTTTTACTCTTTGTTTTATTATTAGAAAAAGTACATTATTTCCTCTCTCATCTACAACAAAAATGAATCTAATCATCCTAGCTATCTTTGATCAAATTTCAACTCAAATTAAATGGTGATTTTTTCGTTAAATAATTTAGTGCGAAAGACAGTAATTACAAATATGAAATTTATTATCAATGTCTACTATCATGGTAAAACATGGTAAAATACGTTGAAAAAAAATTACAAATCTAACTACCATACACTACCAGTATACCACATGGTATAACGTCGTAAAACATGCTACAGAAATTTACAAATCTATTTACCATATCATACCATATGGTAAAATAAAATTACAAATCCAACTACCACCACATGGTAAAACATGTTACAGAAAATTATAAATCTAACTACCATACAATACCACCATAGTAGAACATGGTTAATCGAATGAACACAAATTAATTGTAATTACCATACAATACCACATGGTATGAGAAGGTAAAACAATACAAAAATAATATAAATCTAATTACAACCCTTTACAACCATAGTAAAACATGATATCCATAAAAATACATTTCGTTACCACACTTTACTATATACACATTACCATATGATATATACACATTACTATATGGTATAGTGTGGTATATACACATTACCATATGGTATATACAAATTACCATATGGTATAGTGTGGTAATCTCAGTATATATATATACAATTACGACTCTCTTCACTTTCTTCTCCAACTTCATTGTCTTCTAACTCTTTTTTCTCAGAACGGGAGTCGATTACCACCCACTACCACCATGATAAAACTCGTGACCATAAAGATACATTTAGTTATCACACATTATCATAAGGTATAGTGTGGTAATATCAATATATATTACCTAAAAGGAAGAAAAACAGAAGGAGGGAGAGACAAAAAAAACTCAGTCTTCTGTCTCCTCTCATTTCTCCTCTGCAATCAAGAACACCAAATGCAACAAAAAAGAGGAGGAAGATCGGAATTGAAAATACACAAACAAAAACTAAAATATAAAACATGCAAACTTAACTCACATAGATCCGTCCCCTCTTGGTCAATATGGAACGTCATCTATTTTGAGGCCGAGAAAAGAAAGAACATAAGGAAGAAGCAGCTGCAAATAAGAAGGATTTGAAGCGTCGCCAGATTTTGAGACATGATGCTGCAATTTTTCTTTGTCAATTGTTGAAGAAAAAAAATAAAGAACAAAAGAAAGGAAAATATCTAAATCTGAGAAAAGGAGTTTGGAAGAGAGAAGGAAGAGAGAAGGAAGAGAGGAAGGGAAAGAGAAAAGAGGGAGGAAGAGAAAAGTGTGGTTTCTCTTTCCTCCGTAAAAATAATTATATAAATGCTAGAAAAGTGAAAAAGACAAGAAATAAAATTCAAAAACCAGACAAAAATGCTCCTGCCTACCCCACGTCAATCCCATCCACACAATGATTCTGGCCCAGATCAACGACCAATAAGTGATTACTCACAGGTCAGTAACCGCCGGTTACTGACCACATCTCCAGCCCCCTAAGGCGTATCCGCAGGAGATTGTTGAATTTCTTGCGGCCAACAACATCAAGCTATTCCAATTTGGAATCAAACGGTAAATTTGTTTTTCCTTTCCTTTAATCCTTGTCCGCCTGTGATGATTCCATTGCTTTATAAATGATGACCTTTTTCTCCATCAATTTCGCGAGGGGAGCGGAACTCGGAATTTTGATTCATCTTCCCGTTGATGGGCTCGTACCCTGCATAGAGGAGGAAGGGAAATCGGAAAATCGCGTCGACGAGCTTGCGGTTGCAAGAGGAGGAAGGGAAATCGAGAATCGAGATGCACGAGCCCTTCCATTTTGATGGGACCCAAGGGAGGTCAAGGTCTTGGAAGCTTTGGCGGACGCGAGAGATGTCGTTATCGAGTACCGCGATGTCAAGGTCGGAGCCAAAGTCGTTGTTCTTGACGAGGCCGGCGGAGTCGATGGAGGTACTGAGGGCGAGGAAGTGAAGGGAGCGGTTGTAAAGGAGGCGGAGGCGGTCGGGTAGCGGTTGTTGTATTATAATTTTTTAATTTTATTATTGTTTCTTAATAGGTGGAAATGAGGTGGAAAATCTAAAAAAATTAAATTAAATTTTTAAATGTCACATCTCACATTTACCGGTCAACTATAAGAGTTAAATTGAACGGAGAGTGACTAAAGATGAAACAAAAATATAAAGTTAGTGACTACGAACGGAATTAAGTATTTCTAATGACTAAACATGATACTTTATAGTAATTCCAGTGATCAACCTTGCAATTTACCCGTTTCAAAATATTTATATTGATATTCTCAAATTTTAATTATCTTTACCGTTAATGATTACATATATATAATAATAAATAAATAATGGTTTGACTTTGAGCACCACTCAACCTAATCCGGAGACCGGGAAATGAAGAAAAAGAAGTATGAATAGGGGTGTCCATTCGAGTTCAGTTTTTCGGGTTTACACGAAATCGACCCGATTAGATACATTTTCGGTTTTCGAGTTCGGGTTTGTTTCGGGTTTTTCGGTTTTGGATTCGCTTTTGCTTACCGGGTTTTCGAGTTCCGTCTGAAAACCTCCAAGGAATAGAACTCAGCCCGTATTCTTAGGTATTCGGGTATTCGGGTTTCGGTTTTGCTTTAACCGAACCAGGACCCGATATAGGAATTTTCGGGATTCGGGTAACCGGAAACCAAAAATTCTTATCGGGTTCGGGTTCGGTTTCCACTTATTTCGATTTCGGGTTTTTGAGTTTTCGAGTTTTTTTCGGGTTTTGGTTTGGGTAACCGAACCCGACCCAAACTGGCACCCGTGAGTATGAATACATTTAGTGATTGAAGTTAGATGATCTTAGTATATGTTAAAGTATTTTTTTCTTAATTTTTTGGGGTTAAATTGGTGAATCAGTGAAACAGTCAAACCGAGGTGGTTCATATAGTTTCATGTCAAACCATCAAAAACCGTTGGGTCCATCGCTAACCATGCAATCAAATAAACCAAACTACTATTGTAACTGATTTAGTGATCCTACTCGCTCATCTGTTTGATCTGGTTCGGTTCTTATAACAATGCTAATAATAGCTAACAAAGTATACATGGAATGAATTGCGTCAAAGTCTCCGTTTAATGAATACATTCGCAGATTCCCATTAGGGTTGAGAGACTAGACAAAGCGTCTCGAGTGTGATGGAACTAAGGAGGCGGCAAAGAAGGGGGGGGGGGGGAAGGAGGATAGTGACATTTCAATTTATTGCCATGGATAGTCTTTTGATTTGGCGCGCTAAGAGACGAGCGACAAGAGCTTACATTAGAGCTTACATTTTTTGGTGTTTTGAAAATAACAACAAATTGAGAGACGATAATTGAAAGCCAAGCTTGAGATGAGATTGGGGTTTTGCGAGTTGTCAAAAAGTGAGGAAAGATTGGAGGTTGTAGGCTTTGGGATGTGAGTGCTATGTTTATTTAAATGTATTTTTTGTATTTTACCGTATTTTGATATATACCAATCTTAATCTCTAATAACAAAGAACACTCCAAAAAAAAAGCTCCGTTTTTTGCGGAGTCAAGGAAATCGAAGTAGGGTTTCGTTTCAGCGCGAGTAGCATGACGGCGGCAGGCTCGCTGGAGCATCCACCAGATCGAGGGAAAACTCTGAGCCAGGACCTGGTCTCGGGTGTACGCCGCCCGCCGGAGGTCTCGTCCTCCCCGGATGGAAAAAAAGAACGGGAATCTCAACACCCGAAGAAACGAGTAAGGGCTATTGAACTTGAAGGCTCAGCGGGATTAAACGATGAAGTTATTGTTGAAGATATAACAGAAGAGGAAAACGAGGTCGAAAACCAGGAGCATAGAACGAACGAAAAGATCACCAGCCCCATACACGCAAACGTCAATAATGCCGCCCCCATGCAGAAGCCTATGGCGTGGGGTGAAGGGAAGAAGAAGATGTTCAGTGAGGCAGTCAAGACAACGTACTGGTACGTGGAAGACTCAGACTCGGAGGATATTGCGGAGGCGATGCGGGAAGATGCGAGGGATGAAGCTCTTGAGGAAGAAGATCCGCTATCACCCAATATAGAGTTCACGGCGGCGGAGCTACGTGCCTTCCGGAGAGAGTGGCGATCAGCAATTGTGGTGAAAGTTTTAGGGCGGTCCTTCCCATACCCTGTTATCGCTAAACGTTTGAACATGATCTGGGCGAAGCAAGGCTCCATACAAATCACGAACAGATCGAAGGGCTTCTACTTTTTTAGGTTTACGAGCAAACTGGATTACGAGCATGCTCTTAATGGGGGACCCTGGATGATCGGAGACCACTACTTGGCCGTCCAAAAATGGAAGAAGAGCTTCAACCCCAACATGGAGATCAAGTCCACACTTGTATGGCTGAGGCTACCAGATCTCCCGATTGAATTTTTCCACCCCCAGGCTGTCATGCGCATTGCAGAAAGAGCGGGGATCCCAGTCCGTGTTGATCGGGCTACAGAGTTGGGAGCTAGAGGGGGATTAGCTAGAGCCTGTGTGGAAATTGACTTTACGAAGCCGCTACTTACCAAGTTCAAGATTGAGGGGATTCAGTACGAAATCCAGTATGAGGGGCTGGCGAATGTTTGTTTTGAGTGTGGTAGGTATGGACATTCCAAAGGAACTTGCCCCACGTTACACCAAACAAGAGCAGAGGAGGGGAGTGCTGCACAAACCCAAGAGCTTCCAAAGCGATCTGAACCCTATGGTGAATGGATGATAGCGAAAAGGCGAGGGAGGCAGCCGAACAATCATAACAATGCACAAGCAGCTAAGAATCACGACCAAGTGAGAATGGAACCCACTGGCTCTAGGTTTGCAGTCCTATCGGAGGAAGGAGTGGCCGATTCGGAGACAGCAGATATAGCAGAAACCTCACGAGGGACAACTATGAACCGAGACAGTACGGATGGGGACATCACAAGGACACATAAAGGAGCCCACCAGGAGCGCCAAGTGTGGGTAGAGAAGCAGAGTGCGGGATCAGTAGGCAAGGATGGCCAGTCTAGGGTGATGTCTTCGGAGAAACCAGTAGCAGCGAAACCTCTGAATGGCAAAACCCAGCTGGTCAGTGAACCAAAGACAACAGAAGCTCCAAGGGGAGAGGACAGTGAACCAATGATCATAGAGAATGGGGGCCAAACAATTAACCACAGGGAGTCACACGTTGCGGAGAAGGAGCAGCCAGTTAACAAAGCGAATAGTGCAACCGATATTACCAATCTTGATTCGGATACAAGGTTGCAAGAAGGCAATCCTCTGTTGTCGAATACTCGAGTACCAGCAGTCCCCCCAATACCGAGCGAGTCGGGTACAGGAAAAGAGCTACATCCCAGCTTGGTGAGCCAGGTGGGAGGAGAAGTAAGGGAGACCCTCCTGAAGGAGGGTGAAACTGAGAATCAATAGCCTCTTTCGAGGCCAACCCTACGCCATATGCTCCTTATGGATACGAGAATTTTTGCATGGAATTGTAGGGGAGCGGGAAGCAAACGCTTTCTGCGTGTTTACAAGGAGTATAGACGTCAGTTTCGTCCCACGATTACAATTATTGTAGAGCCTAAGATCAGCGGCGATACAGCCAAAAAAGTAATACAGGAGATGGGGTTTGTCGAGTCGTTGATAGTGGATGCATCGGGTTTCGCCGGGGGCATCTGGATTCTATGGGACCCGGCGCTGATTACGATCACGGAAGAGAAACGGACGAATCAACTTTTGCATGTTAACGTTAAGGTGGGAATGGAGAGTTGGTTCCTTACAGCCATATACGGCAACCCAGCACTTATTCAGCGTCGAGAGCTCTGGAATGCGCTGCGGGATATTGCGGAAGATATGACGGAGCCGTGGGCCCTCGTGGGGGACTTTAACTCAATTTTACACCCCTCGGAAAAATTAGGAGGAGCACCATATGATGCTCGCAGAGCAGGAGACTTCCAGAACTGTTTGATGGACACGGGATTGACTGACATCGGTTTCGTGGGGCCAGCCTTTACGAGGTTTAGAAATGGAATGCAGGAGAGATTGGATCGATGTCTAGCCAACCATGCATGGGTGACTAGGTTTCCAAATGCCACAAACTGCCACCTTCCACGGGTGAAATCTGATCACAGACCCTTACTTCTGAAGCTGAATCCCATGTTCCAACCGGCGGGTACAAAGCCGTTCAAGTTTCTCGCTGCTTGGTTGATGCACGAAGGCTTTAAGGAAATGGCAGCGGAAGCGTGGGCCAAAGGCACCGACCTGCTAAGCTCAATTGAAGCTTTCCATCGTGAAGCCAAAGAGTGGAATTATGTGGTTTTTGGCCATATCCTACGACGTAAAGAGAAGCTCCTGGGACGGATCGAGCGTTTGGAAAAGAGGCAGCGGGGTAATGATGAACCAGCCCAGCTACAAAATCTTAGGGAAGAACTAGAGGAAGTTTTGGTGCAAGAGGAGATCTTGTGGTGCCAAAAAGCCAGACTAGAATGGATGGCATCAGGGGATCGTAATACTAAATACTTTCATGCCAAAACTTTAAGCCACCGTTGCAGGAATAGAATTTCGGCGCTGAAGGATGCTATGGGAAATTGGATTGATGATTAACGAAGTTTACTGGACATGGCCAGAGAATTCTTCCAGAACTTGTACACTGATGATGGCAGCCCTACAAGCGCCTTACCCGCGGCCTTTCCCCACCTCGCAAGTGATGAGTGGCTTCCGGTGACAGGGGAATTCTCCCAAGAGGAGATCCAGGGGGCCATCAAATCAATGGGGCCTCTCAAGGCCCCTGGAAAAGACGGCCTCAATCCGATGTTCTATCAGCGTTGCTGGGATACTGTGGGTCAGGCATTAACAGCTTTTGTTCAAGCCAGTTGGCGAAACCCAGAGCGAGTGAAAGAGGTCAATGAGACGATATTGGTGTTAATCCCAAAAATCCAGAAGCCAGTGCTTATTGAGCAGTTCCGGCCGATTAGTCTTTGCAATGTGTCCTATAAGATTATAACGAAGTGCTTGGCCGAACGGATAAAATACCTGATGCCAAAGTTGGTAGAGGAGACGCAGACCAGCTTTGTGCCAGGGAGACATATCACTGACAATATTTGTGTTTTGCAGGAAGTGGTGCACTCGATGAGGGCCAAGAAAGGACGGGTAGGCTGGATGGTGCTGAAAATAGACCCTCTGTATGGAGAGACCGGGGCACCTAATTCAGGCGAGAGTAGCAGACGGTAGCTGGAAGACGATCAAGTTATCAGCGAGGGGTCCCAAACTATCTCATTTGTTTTTTGCTGATGATTTAATTCTTTTTGGTGAAGCATCTTTGGAACAGGTTCAAGTCATTACCAACTGCCTTGACAATTTTGGAGCAGCCTCAGGCCAGCAGGTTAGCCGACCGAAGTCAAGGGTGTTCTTCTCGCAAAATGTTATGCAGGGCACGGCGAGCACCATTAGTTCGGCGTTGGCTATACCGGAAACCAAGAATCTGGGCCGCTACTTGGGGGTCCCGGTGATCCATGATCGAGTGTCAAAAGCTACGTACTCGGAGCTGATCGATAGAATTGACAAACGGCTAGCTGGTTGGAAGGTCGCCTCGATGTCTCTGGCAGCTCGGATCACACTGGCCCAGTCAGTTCTCGCGGCCCTCCCAGCCTATACGATGCAAACTACATGGCTACCAGCTGCAGTGCGAGAGTACATTGACAAGAAAATACGAGCCTTCATCTGGGGAAGCTCGGAAGCAGGGAGAAAGATCCACCTAGTAGACTGGCAGACTGTATGCAGTAGCAAAGAGGAAGGCGGGCTGGGCTTCAGAAACGCGACTAGAGTGAACGAAGCCTTTATGGTGAAGATCGCCTGGCGTCTGTTTACTGAACCCAACAGCTTGTGGACTCAAATTATTAAGGGCAAGTTTTTTTGGCAAACTGATACGGGTTGGCAGGTGAGAACGGCGGGGAGGATGTCGAACCTCTGGCAGGGAGTTCGACGAGAGCTTCATCTCCTGCCGGATGCGACGTTGTGGCAAATCAATGGTTGCAAGATGGGCCGCCGCTCTCTGCTCTTGCGAATAATCTCCCGGAGGAAGCTCGCCACCTCACGGTATCTGAAATGGTCCTGAATGGGGACTGGAACTATTCCTTTTTGCAGGCGTTCCTCCCGAAAGTCTAGTGATGCAGATCCGCCTCCATCCAGTTCCGCAAGGAAGTGATGCTGACATCCCGCTATGGAGATTTACTCAGTCGGGAAGGTTTACTCTCAAAACTGCCTACGAACTGACCCAAGCGGATGGGGCGGTCCAGCCACAACCAGAGCCATGTTGGAAAGCGATATGGAGAACCCCGTCACCACAACGTACCCGAACCTTTCTCTGGCTAGCAGCGCATCAGCGCCTTTTAACTAATGCCGAGAGATCAAGGAGACACCTGGCACACAATGCAATCTGCCCGATATGCGGGGACGGGCCAGAGACTACACTGCACGTCATCCGTGATTGCCCCTATGCAAGAGGAGTTTGGTCGGATTTCCTAGCCGAGGAACCAGATGAGATATTCTTCCAGGCTAACCTGTCGAAATGGATACGCCATTACGTAACGGGCCGAAGTGGGATTATAGATGCAACTTTGTTTGCTGTCTTGTGTTGGAAATTATGGAAGAATAGGAACAATAAAGTGTTCGAAGAGAAGCTGGCTACGATAGAAGAGATGATACCGTCCGTGAAGCTCTATGTACAGCAAGTGCGCTGGGCTTTTGACAGGGAGAGCGCAGTCATGGGGGGTGATCGCATGAAGCAGAGTTTACCTATCTCTTGGAAACCACCGCCGCCGGGATGGGTATGCTTGAACATTGATGGGTCAGTTTCTATTGCGCAGGCGAGTGCAGCGGCGGGGGGATGTCTACGAGATGAAGACGGGAGGCTGATCCGAGCCTTTGTAGCAAACTTGGGAGGTGGCTCCATAACACATGCAGAGCTAGCAGGAATTGTTTTTGGGTTGCAGATGGCGTGGGATGCTGGAGCTAGGCGAGTTGAAGTTCAGTCAGACTCCCGAACAGCCATCCAGCTACTCCAATCGGCGACGGAGTCCCACCCGCACCGGACGATGATCACGACAGCAAGGCAGCTGGTACAGAGGGATTGGGAGGTGAATATCACTCACACATTTCGCGAAGGAAACTTCACTGCTGATTTTCTTGCTTCACAGGGCCACGAATACCCGATCGGGATTCATTCCTTTCCGGGCTCCAACCCGAACCTGCTCCACTGGCTACTCTACGACAGAATGGGGGTTGCTACTCCCCGCCTTGTGAATGTCTAAGGGTTGAGCGCCCCTAGCGCTCGTTTGTTTACCAAAAAAAAAAAGAACACTCCAAAAACAATCCCAATATAAAAAAAATAACTCAATATGCATTATTACCAAATAGTGATATGCATTAATTACCTCCGACATTCCAAATACCTATATCAAACTTAAAGGACGATATCTAGGTGCAACTCGGATTGTAGGCAACCCTGTAGCCCAGCCAGGTGTCTGCGGACTGCGATCATGATTCATGAGTGGGTGTTTTTTACTCTTTTACTCTTTTTCCTTTTTTAATGGTGGGATTATTTTGTGGAGGGATACGTCAATAAAAAAATGGAAGCTAAATTCATATTGGATCACTTAACTCTTTAGCCAATACTCTTTCTTGTAATGGAAGCTAATATAATGGATGGTACTTTTACATAATGAATTTTAATTTCGCATTACTTAAAGTGTTTAGTTATTACGAAAATCGTATGTAATTGTTTTGATTTAATTATTACGTGATAAATACCTAGTGTTCATAATCATTACGTAATAGATGTGTGTTTGTAAAGTGTCATTACGGAAGCCTTACATAAATGATGGTCCTTTTAGGTAACGAAATTTAATATTGTGTTATATAAAGTGTTAAGTCATCACCAAAATTATACATGACGCTTCTCATTTAACTGGTACGTAAGAAATATATGTCTTTGCGTAACTTTTACGTAATTGATGCGAATTTTACTTAACAGTTGTAATGATTCAATAAGGGATAACCGGTAGCACCGATATCACTGTTTTGATAATCAATCAACAATCTAAATTAATTTTAATGTATTAAATTCATTCGAGTATCTAACTTAAAATTATATACATATTATTGTAGGAGGTGTCATATATCATTTAGTGTATTCAACTAATATGATAATATGTGGTTCAAAGTGAATATGTAATACTATTTATTTGTTGCAAAATGTACGTTCTTTGGACATTCAAACTATAAACCCCAAAACATTTCCGTGATCTACAATTTCCATTTCCAGCTTTCCATCAAGATTATCCCACCATTAAAAAAGGAAAGAGATTAAAAATACCCACTCACGAACAGACACCTGGCTTGGCTGTAGGGTTGTCTACAACCTGGGTTGCACCTAAATATCGTCCAAACTTAAATGCCTACCTTGATTGCCAATTTTTCCTTTGGCTTGCACTTCTCCAATTAATAAAAGCCACAAGATATTACAATTACGAGGAGTGGCAGTTTTTTTTCGGACCAATGAATGAGTATTGTCACAGCCTTACTCTTGGTCGTGTCGCCCTAGCTCTCAATTCAGTTAGAGATGTTAGACAGCCTTCTCACAAGCTCTCAAACTCACTCCACTCATAAGAAGACACAAGAAGATGGGAGAAAATCTCTAGTTGTATTGCTCACAAAAATGATGGATGATTACAAATGAGGAGGAGGCGCTCCTTTTATAGGCCCTCCTCTCTTACAAGGTGTAAATACCTCTCATAATGCTCTCCCTAGGGGTGGGCAACGGGAAACTGGTATTTGGGTATACCCATACATGTCCCGTTTTTTTAGGGTTACGGGTACCCAAATACCCGTTTTATAATTGTGGAACGAGACTTGGGATTTGTAATTTCAAAAGCGGGTACCCGCGGGTTACCCGTTTATACCCGTTTGGGTATAAAGGGTACCCGTTTTACCCAATACAGTCTAGTGAACCCGAGTATAGCGCCCCAGCTCAGCAGCCCGTGAGCCGAGCCCAGACATCCAGGCCCATCTCCTCTCTTCTCTGATTATGTTCTGAGACTCGAATGGCTATGGCCTGGCGGCTGGCCCTGGCTTATCTCCTCTCCCTCACTAGACACTTCACACTCAGCGGTGACAGGGCAAGACCTTCGGCTGGGAGCCTGGGACAACAGGGTTATTTTTCATTTCATTTTGTGGGCACTTTTCATTTTATGGGCAGTAGCTTCGGCTGGGACAGTAGGGTTCTTTTTCTTTTCATTTTGTGGGCAGTGGTTTTTTTTTCCATGAGATTTATTGTGCCCGAAATTATTGTTGTTATTTTTTTCAGGTACAAATGGGTATAAACGAGTATAACGGGTACCCGTTAACGCTTATGGGTTTGGGACATGGGATGGACCTTGGTCTCCAAACGGGATCGGGTACCCGTTTCAAACGGGACGGGTTTCCCATCCCGTCCCATTTCTCACTCCTAGTTCTCCCCCATTAACACACCCTATTACGTTTCCCCCATAATGCACACTATTATACCACCTCATAATGTGGCTCTTTATGTGTACCATTAAGCTCATCTTCAAAATGGGCAAGATGGGGAATCCTAGGAGCATCCTATGCTACTAGGTCTTCCTTAATGCCACACATGCTTGACTTGGTCATGATCCGCAACATCACTCGCCATGTTGTCCGCCACACATGGTATTCTTCCCCACCTATTCTCGCGACGCCCTCGTCGCGTCCTTGCTACGAAATGCCTCCATTGATCTCGAGCAGCCTCTCTCGACTCTTGAGCCTCGTTGGTGACATTCTCCTCCACCCAATCCACGACGCCTTCGTCGTGGCTCTTTGACAGACGCCTCCCTTGCCTTAGCTTCATTGCTTGCAAGGTCTCGTTGCGCCTTCCTCCAAACTAAGGATGGCCCTGGCTCGCTCTCGAGCTTTGTGCTCCCATAAAGTTGCGCACTGCTTTGTGATCTTCTCCGTCGCATCTTCGAGTGTCCCACCTTCTTGATCACGGTGGCGCTTCTCATGGCATATCGAGGATGGCTCCTCCTTGTATCTTGTTACCCCTCTCCTTGCCAAACACCCCCTAGTTTTACATGGGTTGCTCTCTTGTCATGGGAACCGATCTTACTCTGCCATTGATGCAGAATCTATTGGCGTAGGGGATCGGGAAAGTTTTCTCCCGCACCATGAACTCCATGCCAATAATGACCTGTAGTCATCCAACGACACAACCTCAAATTCCGCCACCCCGCTCCATCCTCCAACCTTGAGTCCTCCAAGCTTGAGTGGCACCTGGCGTGCTACTCCGTGAGTTCTTGTGGCCCTTGAGTTGATAGCCTTCATCCACTCTCTTTGCTTCCTTAATGCCACACATGCTTGACTTGGCCATGATCCGCCACATCATTCGCCACGTTGTCCGCCACGCGTGACATTCTCCCCCACCTATTCTCGCGATGCCCTCGTCGCGTCCTTGCTACGAAACGCCTCCATCGATCTCGAGCAGCCTCTCTCGACTCTAGAGCCTCGTTGGTGACATTCTACTCCACCCAATCCACGACGCCTTTGTCGTGACTCTTTGGCAGACGCCTCCCTTGCCTTAGCTTCATTGCTTGCAAGGTCTCGTTGCGCATTCCTCCAAACTAAGGATGACCATGGCTCGCTCTCGAGATTTATGCTCCCATGAAGTTGCGCACTCCATTGCGATCTTCTTCTTCCCATCTTCGAGTGTTGAGGACTTGATATATACACATGTTTTTGCCCACCATTCGTACACCGTTTGAGTCTTATTTCTCGTGTTTTAGGCCGATTTCACGCTAGGTTGTTCTTGTTTGTGATATTTCAGATCCTAGTACGTGAATGAAGGTTTGGGAACTAGTTCGGGGTCGATTGGACGAAGATTGGACGTTTGGCGAGAAGCCGAGGTAGCCACACGGGCACGCCTAAAAACCCACATGGACGTGTGACACCAAATTGCGCGGGCAAGCCACACTGGTCGTGCAAGCGAACCCTTGTGGCCGTGTGGAAAGTCCAGGGAGCTCACACGGGGAGCCTGGAAATCCACACGGCCGTGTGGTTTTGGCCGTGTAGCGTACCTGAAGCCACTTAAGTGAAACGCGACGTTTTGCACACTCACACGGGCACGCCTAAAAAGCCACACGGCCGTGTGGTTGGGAATTTCTGGATTTTTACCCAAATTCGAGCCAAAGGAGAGAGAATCGACTTTTTTGGAGCAAAAACAGAGCCCTAGACAGAGAAAGTGCGAAGAACACATCCTAGAAGTGATTTTGGAGCTGGGTTTCATCAATCGAGCTTGGAGATCATCATAGGAGTGAAGATCATCATCTCAGAGCAGATTCTTCCCATTGTTATGAGTATGACTGCTTTGTATTCTTTTTCCCTCTCTCTCTCTATGGAGTAGAACTCTCTCTCTCACTTGGGTATGAAGAACCCTAGTTCCATGTGTTAGGAATCTAGATTGTAATTACGTTTGGATTGTGATATTGCTTGATTATAATCGATTGAAGTGTTTTGATTGAGTCAATTGATGTCTGATCATCTTTTATTGATTTCTGCTACAACCTGAGATAGATAGAATCTGATTAGGTTGTTAGAGCTTCTTCAATCGGTAGTAGTGAATCGATTATACGAGAGTTAGTCGATTCACTGCTTTGTACTGTAATCTAATTCCAATAGTGGAGTTCTGTGTTCATTGCCTCAGCGTTCTATCCCGGTGAAGGCTAGTCGTCTGCCGGGTAGTTTGACTGAGAGGGCTTGGTCAGCTTAAGAGATTCCAAGCTACTGTCGGATCTTCCGCAGTATAATCAGCAGTACAGCAACCACAAGTAATTACAACTGTGACCTAACTAAGGAGCTAGGGGGACTCATTCCCGAGTGACTCTTCCTTTGCTTTAGAAAACCGAACCATTTCCTGCTTTCTTACTGCTTTTACTTAAATCAACAATCACTCAAGTTAGCTTGCTAGATAACAGATATACACGAAGTAGGCAGTAGATCTAGACCCCGGGTTGACTATGGAGTCGGGTTTCAGTACCAACCCTCCTACTGCGAAGAACAATCAGACCCTTGGGTATTTGAAGAACAATCTCATTATCAAGAAGAATTCCTCCCACAACTAGAAGGGCCATCATATCTTGATTTAGCCACAGCCTTCACGGGCCATCCGGCAGAGCCATGCTACACTCCACAGCCAGATCCAAACTATCACTTGAGGCTTCAGTGGAGCAGATTGCTCGAGTACCTGAGAGATCCTTTCCCGAGATGGATCCTCATATCCAGGCCATGACCCAAACTGACTTCTCCTTTCCCCGTGAAACAGAGGATACCCTTCAGAGCATAAAGAAGCACATAGAGGTAATAGAGAAAGCTTGTGCACAGTTTTCTCAAGACAACCTTTATGCTGCCATACAAGTAGAGGAGGAGGAAGAAGAAGGCAATCATGAGGATGTTGAGGAGCATACAAAAGTGTCACGGGAAGCTTCCATGATAATCATGATCAAGTGTATCCTCTGGTGATAGATCACAACTGTCCCCATTTCCGCTCTGATATGCTGGGCCCGAGCGAGGAGATGCAAGATGATCTCATTGAAGAAATTACATGGCGACTTGCTCTCCAATCTGTGCTAGAAGAAGAAGAGCGAGAAAGGGTGAGGGAAGAAGTTGTGGAGGATGAGGAAGAAAGCAAAGAAGAGGAAGTTCTTGATCTTTTCCAAGGGGAGAGACCACATTTTGAAGAAGGAAGGGGGGTTGAGGAAGCAATTGGCGTCCAGGCTGAGGATGAAGTTGAGGTGGAAGAGGTTTGCACCGGCCCTATGTTACATGTGATATCTCCACCAAACTTCGAGGAGCTGCTTGGTAAGGACCCATTTGCAATGTCTCTTTGCCAGACCAAGACCACATCAACATCAATCCCTCTTGGTGGATGCGATAGTGGTCAATCAATGATATCTTATTTGGTTTGGGGAAATGAGACAAGAGCAAACGCGAAGGAGAGGTCTCGAGAGTGGAGACTTCATCTTCCTCAAGGCCACGAGCCATCTTCATCACTTATCACATCACCTGCTTGTGACTTGAGACTCCACATCATCGACGAGAACCTCAACTTCAAGGAGGTTTTGGGGTGGACCGAAACTTAGGAGCCACCGTCCAGCTACAGATGTAAAAGAAGCGCTTGTGGGGAGGCAACCCCACCAAGGTTTGTTTCCTTTCGTTTATTTTTGGCTTGTCCACTTGGTACTATGGTTTCTATCACCCAGTGTGTTTTGCTGATGCTAGCCCCGCTGACTGGTCCACTTCCATTCCCCCGACAGTCTTTCCTTCTGGTAACATCGTTCCCCTTATCTCTCCCTCTGATCCATTGATGGCAATGTCGTGCTTAAGTGTGTGGGGAGGGGGGGGGGGGTGCTTTGTATCGGTTCGAATCTATATATGTGTGCTTGGAGCCTAGTGCGTTGTCCAAATCTCGAGATTTGAGGGCTCCAAGTATCGCTGTTTGCATGATCATATTGGCACTGTGATTTGTTTGGTGAATCGAATGGTTTTCGAATTAATGCATGACAACTTGATTGTAACTAGGACAGCCTATAACGATGACTGAGACGTGCAGTAGAATTGTGTAGGGGTTCAGTTTTTCAACTGTTTGCTTACCAACTATGACTTGGATTGATCACTTGCTCTTGACAGTCGTTTATGCATCTAATTCAGGGAATCAGAATGAGAGGTAGATAATATAGGTAGCCATGTGAGATTTGAGCCTGCTCGTTTCTTTCTTGTGCGATAGATTCCATGATGTGCAACATTCACGTTGTTACTAGCTAAGATGATGGAGGCATAGGATTAGCCCACGACCAAATTGACTGTCCTGGTGTGTCATACCCCCTAGTCAGCCCCTTTGAGCCGTGTATTTTCGTTTCTTTCGGTCTACACTGGAAAATCACCCTTTTGCATCTCTTAGAAGGTTCCACAGAGTGGTTTTTGCATGTTCTCTGCTGTTTCTGCTAAATATAATGTGAGGGTTGGAGGTAGTTCTTAAAAAGATGGGCATGTGTTTGAAAAAATGTGCAGAGGTGGTGGTTCTCTCAAGAAATGAAAAAAAAAAAGAAAAGAAAAAAAGAGGAATGAAAGCAAAAGAGGGCCACCACCAAAAATCTGAATAGTGCCCATTAAGTAGTGTTTCTTAGCAGTCTGGCTTAGAAAAACTAACATTATTGTGACCTCCTTCGCTCTTGTGCTCTAAAGAATTTGAGTAATGCAGAATGGCAGAAAGAAAGTAAGTGGTTTGATTGACTGTGATTGTGTTGGGTTTGGAATTGTGGAACCTTGTGCTATGAATACTTCCACCACCTAAAATGCCTTTTCCCCATGTCCAAGACCCTAGCCAGTCATCTGAACCTGTGTCTAAGACCTTCGGATTAGTTATTAGAGACACCCCATATGTGAACTCTAACATTTAGAGGCTGCCTTCATGGTGAAGAGACGTTAGGGATTGAGAGAATAAGCATGCGCATTTTTCTCATCAAATTGTCAAGACCCCACTGGTCGAGAGTGAGTGATTCATTTTCTCATATTCTCTATACTCTTTACCCCGGTGAGGACCTAGATTGCTCGGTCTCAATTCTAATATCTTGAGTTTTGTGCTTGAGGTGACTGTCTTGAGTAAGTGGTTGAGTCAAGTCTATGTTGGTTGATGAACAGAAGGGAGACTCCTCCTTTACCCGATTTTGCTGCACTCGAATGTCCTCTGTGGTGGCTGTCCAGGTTGCTGTTAAAGTTGTTCATGTGGTGATGTTTAAAAGCCAGTACGATTCCGTGTTCAGTGCCAATATGAATTGTCCCCAATGATGGTATGATTGAAATATGCTGAGCTTACCTTGTATCTGACTTGGTTTGCTTGGGGACAAGCAAACGGTTAAGTGTGGGGGAATTTGATGACTTGATATATACACACGTTTTTGCCCACCATTCTTACACCGTTTGAGTCTTATTTATCGTGTTTTAGGCCGATTTCACGCTAGGTTGTTCTTGTTTTTGATATTTCAGGTCCTAGTATGTGAATGAAGGTTTGGGAACGAGTTCGGGGTCGATTGGATGAAGATTGGACGTTTGGCGAGAAGCTGAGGAAGCCACACGGGCACGCCTAAAAACCCACACGGCCGTGTGACCTGGCCTTGTGGCACCAAATTGCACGGGCAAGCCACACTAGTCGTGTAAGGGAACCCTTGTGGCCGTGTGGAAATTCCAGGGAGCTCACACGGGCAGCCTGAAAATCCACACGCCCGTGTGGTTTTGGCCGTGTAGCGTACCTGAAGCAACTTAAGTGAAATGCTGCGTTTTGCACACTCACATGGGCACGCCTAAAAAGCCACACGGCCGTGTGGTCGGGAATTTCTGGGTTTCTACCCAAATTCGAGCCAAAGGAGAAAGAATCGACTTTTTTGGAGAAAAAACAGAACCCTAGAGAGAGAAAGTGCGAAGAACACATCCTAGAAGTGATTTTGGAGCTGGGTTTCCTCAATCGAGCTTGGAGATCATCATAGGAGTGAAGATCATCATCTCAGAGCAGATTATTCCCATTGTTATGAGTATGACTGCTTTGTATTCTGTTTCCCTCTCTCTCTCTATGGAGTAGAACTCTCTCTCACTTGGGTATGAAGAACCCTAGTTCAATGTGTTAGGAATCTTGATTGTAATTACGTTTGGATTGTGATATTGCTTGATTATAATCGATTGAAGTGTTTTGATTGAGTCGATTAAAGTCTGATCATCTTTTATTGATTTCTGCTGCAACCTGAGATAGATAGAATCTGATTAGGTTGTTAGAGCTTCTTCAATCGGTAGTAATGAATTGATTATACGAGAGTTAGTCGATTCACTGCTTTGTACTGGAATCTAATTCCAATAGTGGAGTTCTGTGTTCATTGTCTCAGCGTTCTATCCCGGTGAAGACTAGTCGTCTGCCGGGTAGTTTGACTGAGAGGGTTTGGTCAGCTTAAGAGATTCCAAGCTACTGTCGGATCTTTCGCAGTATAATGAGCAGCACAGCAACCAAAAGTAATTACAACTGTGACCTAACTAAGGAGCTAGGGGGACTCATTCTCGAGTGACTCTTCCTTTGCTTTAGAAAACCGAACCATTTCCTGCTTTCTTACTGCTTTTACTTAAATCAACAATCACTAAAGTTAGTTTGCTAGATAACAGATATACACGGAATAGGCAGTAGATCTAGACCCCGGGTTGAAAATTAGAGCTTGCCTGTTACTGCATTTCCGGACTGCGATTACACTTGGTCGTAGTTTGGTGTTGTGTGTTAGCGTGTCAAGTGTCCCGCCTTCTGGATGACGGTGGTCTTTCCTTGCTTCTCCTGGCAAGTCGAGGATGGCTCCTCTTTGTCTCTTGTTACCCCTCTCCTTTCCAAACACCCCTGGTTTGACTTGGGTTGCTCTCTTGTCATGGGAACCGATCTTGCTCCGCCATTGATGCAGAATCTATTGGCGTAGGGGATCGGGAAAGCTTTCTCCCGCACCATGAACTCCATGCCAATAATGACCTGATAGTCATCCAACGACACAACCTCAAAGTCCGCCACCCCGGTCCATCCTCCAAGCTTGAGTCCTCCAAGCTTGAGTGGCACCTGGCACGCTACTCCGTGAGTTCTTGTGGCCCTTGAGTTGGTAGGCTTCATCCACCCTCTTTGATTCTTCTCGTACGTGATGCCTAGCCTCTGCGCTTCATCTATGTCGAGAAGGTTGCAGCTTGCCCCGATATCAACCAAGGCTTTTGTCTTCCTATGGTTGAGCTTCGCCTCTACAAAGCATTGGCCGTGTTGCTCGGGATGAGGAGGCTCTTCCGTCCCATTGATGGCGCTTAATCTCTTCATGCAACCAATCTTCGCGACATGAGGCTCCACTCTTCCGAGCTCAAGCACTCTGCTAAGGTGTAAATACCTCTCATAATGCTCTCCCCCATTAACACACCATATTAAGTTTCTTTGATAATGCACACTATTATACCACCTCATAATGTGGCTCTTTATGTGCACCATTAAGCTCATCTTCAAGATGGAGAATCCTATGAGCATCCTATGCTACTAGGTCTTCCTTAATGCCACACGTGCTTGACTTGGTCATGATCCGCCACATCACTCACCATGTCGTCCGCCATGCGTGACATTCTCCCCCACCTCTTCTCGCGACGCCCTCGTCGCGTCCTTGCTACGAAATGCCTCCATCGATCTCGAGCAGCCTCTCTCGACTCTTGAGTCTCGTTGGTGACAGTATCAAGGGACTACGACAGGAGACATAACACGTTTACAGAATACTTTAGAATCGGAAGATTGCTCTTCGTAGCAGCGCTCTATCTCTAATATAAACAGAAGTATGAATTTTCAAATGAAACTTTGATGTTTTGTTTGCCATATCAGTCAAGGATAGAAACGACTGGCAACAATAGACATAGATCAGTCAAAGCTTAGCTAGTTCTATCTCCTGCTTGCTTTTCCGAATTCGAGTAGGTACTTCCTTCTGTAGTTCTGTTACAAGTAAAAAAAAAAAAAAAAAAAAAAAAGAATAGGTACTTCCTGGGACTAGCCAAAGATGGCTCAAAAGTAAAGTGGCACTTCTGAGCACACGGTTAATGCCCTTTCACAGTCAGTCCAAGGGAGATAGGTGGTAGAAATCAGCCAAGTAAGCTAGAGCTTCCGAGTTGTTCTCGCATATCTTCCACAACGACGCAACCTCACCTCTCGAAACAGTGCCCGAGTACTCACAATCATCTAGAAACTCCAACAGCTTTTTGTAAAACGAGTCATAGTTCATCACGATGAAGGGTACCGGAAGCTCTGACCCAATCCTTTCCAGCTGAATCAATGCTAATATCTCAAACATCTCGTCTAGAGTATCGATCCCACCAGGGAGAGCAACCACAGCAGTCCGATCAGTAGCCTTGTTCCTCACTGCAGCATCTACCAGCCCGTGTTTTCTGGCTGAGAAGAACCTGCCATTAGTCTGGAAATATATGATTTCTGCTATGAGGGCACAATGGAGAGCTTAGAGCAACACTAACATAAGTCAATTTGCTGTTTTACCTGCATGTTAGATAGGTTTCTGTGGGTAGGTAAGGATGAAAGTTTGAGGCCGTCCATTCCCCAGCTTCTTTACCGATCTTAAATCCACCAACAGGCTTTCCTGCTTGCAATGCGCCCTTAGTAGCAGCATCCATTAGACCTGGACCAGCCCCTGTCCATGACGTGCACTCCAAAAGCTCAGCAATCTGGAAACAACAACAAGAACAAGCAACTCTTCTCAGAACTTATGATTGAAATGTCATTGTGATCTTCTTCTCGAAATGCTTTTCAACCCCCTTTAAATGAAATTTAAATGTAGAAGCTATAGGCAGCAAAGGCCGACTTGCCTGTCTCCCAAGCTCAAATGCTTTCAAGTAATGTGGATGATCTGGTCCCATTCGTGATGAACCCAGATAAACAGTTCCCCTTCCAATTCGATTGATGAGATCGTAACATCGCTCTACCTCTTTTCTGATCTTCAAAACAATAAGATACAAGCTGACCACTAAGCTACCACAATAAGGTTTATAATAGCAGAACTTCAAACACCAAGGGACCTAGAGACCAATGACCAAAAATTTCCACGGAGCTGCTAGTACAATTTGCAAGCATCAGATGGCCCCAATCACGAAATACTCAGAACAACAACTGATCTACTCTTAAAATATCCAACAAACTCTTGCTCCTTGATCTAGCCAGCTTCCCTACTCTAAATTCTGTGCTTATTCTCGGGACCGTGGAGTTATAAGAAACGGACCAGAAACAGAAACCAGGGAAAGCTATGAACTTGGAAGCATAATACACAAAAGCCACGTTACAAACCATAACCATAGAAATCAATCACAAAAGCAATGAACATCTAACATCTGAACATGGAGAAAGGAGTGGGAGCGCACCTCATGCGGACTCGTCCTCTCCTCAAAATCATCAACTTCACTCTTGCACAGCAACCTTTTCCTCCGGCGGCAAGGCTGCGACTCCCGACAATTGAAATTCACACCAAACCTCCATTTCCTACCTGATGACCGAAACTCCGCAGCAGTTCTCCCATGGAATTTCTTCAAGTTAACGAGAGAACCCAAATTACTCACCGTTGAAAAGCTCATCTCAGCCGTCAAAGTAGCATATCAAGAAAACCCACCAGACGAATTGCTCGTGAATATGGAAATCCCTCGATACCAACCGCATGTATGTATCCAGAAACAAAGAATCGAATTAACTAGCACATTGGCAATTGCCGATAGTAAAAGAGGAAGCTTTACCAAGAGCCAAGCATTTCTTCATCTGGGTTGCCCTCTTCAGTCTTCAACTTGCCTTGGTGCCATCGTTCACAACGGAATGAAAGCGAATCGCCGTCTCGCCGCTGAGCTCGTGCCCCCGGGAACGGGATGGTTGAAACGGGCTTTTCTCTAGCTGGGCTAAATTATTGGGCTTGTCCAATTGTCATGGACCGTAATTTACTATTTTACCCAACTAACCACAGTCAGCAATGAGGACAAAGACGTAATCATATAAACTAGGGTTTTGTGCACTATAACAGCTAAGCCTTCGCCTGGGCACAAGTTCTCTTTCGTCGAAGCTGTGTGTTTGTACCCCGACGGCTGCTGGTATCCGGAGGTCCGCAGAAAAGCGTCGTCTCCTCATTCTGCGAAAATGGGTATGTCTCATTTGTTGCCGATTCTCGAGGATCTTAAGTTTTTTTTTCTGGTTTTGAATCATTGTCGTAGCTTGATTCTGATGATGTTGTCATCTGGTTTTGTATTGGATATGGGTAGGGATCTCTCGTGATTCGATGCACAAGAGGCGTGCCACTGGTGGCAAGAAGAAGTCCTGGAGGAAGAAGCGAAAGTAAGTCCCCACCAATTTCATTTTCTGGTGTTCCCCTTTGATCCCGCTGGCGTGTGTGTGATGTGGCTCTGTTTTTTCTCCTTCCTGCTGCAAGGATAAGTATAGAGTTATGAGATTAGGGTTTAGTTTGTTGAATTGGATTTGTAAGTTACAAGATGGTCAAATTTAGATGGATTTGTTCATTTCTAAAGGCAGTGATCCTCGAGTTTTGAGCTGATGATATATGGAAAGGGGCTTGTGGGTAGTGAAGTTGTGGATTGTCAATCTGTTACTTAGGAGGGGTTCGAATTCATGCCAATGTTGTTTGTTTCTATCGAGTGGGGAGTAAAATCCATTGAGGGCAAGTTCTTACTCACATGGAACTTTAACGCTGTGCAGGTATGAGCTCGGTAGGCAGCCTGCTAACACTAAATTGTCGAGCAATAAGACAGTTAGGAGAGTGAGGGTTCGTGGAGGGAACGTGAAGTGGCGTGCGTTGAGGCTTGATACTGGAAACTTCTCATGGGGTAGTGAGGCAGTGACCAGGAAGACCAGACTTCTTGATGTGGTGTACAATGCATCTAACAATGAGTTGGTCCGTACTCAGACCTTGGTCAAGAGTGCCATTGTTCAGGTTGACGCTGCACCATTTAAGCAGTGGTACCTCCAGCACTATGGAGTTGACATTGGTCGCAAGAAGAAAAATCCAGCTGCAGCAGCTGCTGCCAAGAAAGAAGGAGAGGTAAAGACTTTTTTTTAGTAATATATGTGATTGGAGAAACTATAATTTTACAGTGCTTTGTTTTTATGTAGCATAGTAGTCTGCAAACTCTGTTCCCCGGTATTTACTTTTTTGAAATGATTGGGTGGATAGGAAGCTGAAGCTGTCACTGAAGAAGTGAAGAAAAGCAGCCATGTGACGAGGAAGCTGGAGAAGAGGCAGCAGACCCGCCAGCTTGACTCACATATTGAGGAGCAGTTCGGTGGTGGGCGTTTACTAGCTTGCATTTCATCACGCCCCGGTCAATGCGGCCGTGCTGATGGGTATGTATCGAGTTCTCAAAATCTCCTGCTCATGTGTTCAATATCGTTATGCTGTCATGTCTATGATTCTGTATTCTCCGTCTTAACTGTTTCGTTTCCATTTGTGACTGAACAGATACATCTTGGAGGGCAAAGAGCTGGAGTTCTACATGAAGAAGTTGCAGAAGAAGAAGGGCAAGGGTGCTGCTGCCTAAATTTTTTGCTTACCACCTTGATATGTTTGTTGGAGCAATATCTATTTGTCAGCTTTTCTTCCTTATGGTCATCTAGACTTGCTTTGAGATATGACAGTTAGATATCAAGTTTTCACCCCTTCACTGCTGCTGAACCATAATTTAGGGTATTTGTCATGTTCTGCTCCCCTCAGTTAAATGATAAATTTCTGTATCTTCTAAAAGTTTGGATGTGCCGTTTTATTTTGGTTCAAGGTGGTGTGGTCATTTTCTTCTGCATCAATCGCTCTGCATTGCTAGCTCTGGTGTGAACTTGGTACCATCAGTGTCAGTGTTAGTTTTCTACTTTTCTTTGCCAGAACTTAGATCTATAATCTAGTGCAAACCAGTGATCGAGAGCGTTTTGATGATGCATAGAAACGAAGTGCATGAATCAATTGTTCGTCGATGAACTCGTCTCCTGTTCTATTTCAACCTTGCCATTAGACTATGCAAGTGACTGATCCTGTTTTTCCCTTACCGTGTCTACCCACATCATATTAGTTATTATTATTTAGTCCCTCTATAGTTCTTCAGAAGACTATATACTTCAGAAGACTATAATATATAGTAATTCTTCAGGAGATTTTGAACATTTCAAATTCTTTGCATTTGAGTCCTTCAGATTGATAGTCAATATCCCTAACCAACTGGACTACAACAATATTTATGTATTTTTTGAATTAAAGAGAAAATATTGAAATATCTCAAAATCATAGGACTATCCACCACAACAATCAATCATCGAATTAATTAATAACTATAATTATTTATAAAGTGAATCATCATGATATATCTAGCTTTATGAATCAACTAAGTGAGTTCCTCTAATCACACAATTCTTCACCAAGAATCAAATAGTACATTTTGAGTTTATGTATGTCTTACAACTTTTACATTTATTAGGTTACATGACTTTGTAGTTTGTAGGAATACAAGGATTGTTTACAAAAGAGCTATACAAAATTTTATTTCAAAACATAAAATTTGACATTTGTGATCTATAGTTTTGTAACGAGACATTTTCAATGCTATAAGTGAATGACCAAAAATCATTGGCTAACAATTTTCCTAATGGTTGACAATTATAAGCATAGAATTGAAAGACTAAATATCATTGGCTAAATTTAACAAACAATGGTATATGTATATACATTGGAAATTCTATGGTACGCTCGATGGATTGAGGGTTATTGCATCTCCTTAGTTAAATAACATTATCTAGACCATAAATTAATCACGTAACTAAACCCTATATCATAATTCTCTAAATCCTAATATAGTGCATATGGTATGTTGTATACATCTTGGCGAATCAAGTTCATTGATTATGTTCTTAGTATACGTGATATTAGGGTCAAGTTCTATAGATTTAGGGTATATGATTTAATTATTTGAAACTTAATCTCCCTTTTCAAATTTCCTGCAATGAGAGGGAAATTAGGAAGGACATTTTTGTCTTCACAATTATGTGTATTTTTTATTTATTTACAGAAAAAGATAGACATATTGAGATTTGAACCATGGTCACTTCAAACAAAGTGAAGGTTTAAAATCAATCAGACTATGTAGATTTGTTGTATTTTTTTAAATTAAAAATATATACGAAGCTAAAATATGAAATCACAGAAATTTTCAACAGTTAGCTAGCCCAATAAATATTTCGTAAGTACTTATTTGGTGTTTTGATACTACAATTTTGATATTTTTTTATTTTAATTATAGTATAATACTTAATTTAAAATTTTATCTATCTTATAAATACTAAATAGACGATAACCATAAATTTGCAACCAAAATATTATTGGTTCGAATATTTCAAATCGAATTATAGTATTGAATATGTAGAAGCGATATAGATTTCTTAAATTACCATTAATTTACAGAACTATAGTGAAACAATCATATCTTTATGCAAACTATAGGGGACTGGTTCTTTGAACATTTTTCTCCGGTTAAATACTAAGTTTTGAAACTCTTCCTAGGGGTGTACGTGGGTCGGTTCGTTTGGATTTATATATTTTAATTACCTAACTCATATACCCCGATTTTGAAAACACTAAATACAAACTCACCCAAATAATTTAGAATTTTAACGGTTTGTGTCCTCCATACTAAATGAACCAATTTACATGTCACTTAACTAAGGACGATCTCATTGTCCAATCCCATCATTCTAATGTCAATCCATAAAAGTAACCCATATTCGCGTTTGTTAACACATAATTCACATTGTCATTACTGTGACCGGTAACTTCGCTGCAACTAATTCGGTATTACTCATCATATGGCCTCAAAACTCATAAACATATCGGGCCAAAAATTTTATGACAAAACTCAAAGTGAAGACAACTCATCGTGTGGTGGAATTTTGGCGCTTGATGGTGTCCATTAATCTAATTGCAAGCATAATGATTGCTAAAATTAAGCTTTCACGCAACACACTGGGAGTTGGGGGTGTGAACTTGGAGTAAAAGTTGATATTGGGTTTGGGAAGGAAAGTGGTGAGAGGAAGAAATTGTGTTTGGATTTGGTAGAAGGAAAAGTTCATGGTGCGGTTTATTTTGGTAAAATGCTTTGATTTATTTTAGTTAGAGGTATAATATCATGGTTATGTGGGATCAAATGAACCAAAAATGAGCTTGGGAGATGGGAATTCCAACTTAGAAGGAGTGGATTAGATTTTGATAAACTCAAGTTCATGATTAACTGAAAGAATATTTAGATTTGGAGTTTGTGGTATTGAGATGTTCATAGAGAGTTTAAAACTGATCCAAGGCCATTGATTGATATCGGGTAGCCGATTGTGATTTTGAGGAAGGTGTATATGGAAATAGTTTGCAACAAGTGAAGGCAGTGAAGAGGCAGTTGGTCAGGGTAGTGATTGAACCAAGGACGGTATTGAAAGACATAGAAGCGAAATCGGAGCAATTGAAGAGAGACAAGTAGTAGATGATCAAGATATTAATGAAAATGGAGAGGGTATTGAAGTGCATGGAAGTGAACTGGATCAGGTGAAGGCAGAGAATGAGGAGAAGAGCATATTGATGGAATTGAAGATGAGTGTTGGTTTTACGAGCTTATTAAAACTGCCCCGAGGAAGATGAGTTGGCCAAATACAAGAAAGAGGATTGAGGAGTTGGAGATCAAGCTGACAAGAAACTCAATTGATAGAAAAATTCAGGTTCATGGAGAGAAGGTCCATCAAAGTAGCATAAATGGAGTTACAGAAGGAGAATTAGAAATTGAATTTTGGTTTCAAACATATACGTTGAGAGATTGAAGATGGAGGGATAAAAAGTTGGTTGTACAACGGAGAGTGGAAACTATTGGATCTTTAGGTGTTATGGTTGTTGCAAAACCATAACCTATGTTTATGTTAAAACGAGGAATCATTGATTGATTTACTAAAGTTAAGGTCGATTCACAATTCAAACTACTGGAACCTGTAGATAAGGAGTGTCTAATTTTGTGCCTCATTACTTCGAGTCTATTAGTATATTGGATGTAACTCTAATATTGTCATTTGCTCTCAAGTTTTGATGGTCAACCCCAAACCACAATGGACGCAACACAGCTTTGACCAAGACCATATCGAATTGAATCTAATATGTCTTGGACCTTCATCCTACCAATCATACAAGTTCAAAAGAAAAATGTTCTGATGGGACATTTCAAACGAACTTCATCGGATCCCACCAGATCGAATGTACTTATGGTCCAGTGTTGGATTCTATGATTTGTTTCATTAATGGACCGTGTTTCTAATGAATATAAACAATCAAATATGAACATTCATAATGTTAATCGGCCAACGGGCCGAGTTATAAGTTAGTATTATTAAAGGCGAAAGCCAAAATCCATTTCTCCATTTCAAATTTCCTACATCGAGAGTGAATGTAGGAAGGGCAGTTTTGTCTTCACAACTACTTATTTATTTCTTATTTATTTATTTATTTATAAAAGGGATACTTATGGTGATTTGAACCATGACCACTTTAAAGAGACGGAAGAGCTACAACCAATCACACTACGCATATTTGTTGGATCTCTTAAAAGAAAAACATACACAAACCTAATATCTGAAAAATCATAGGACTTTTACAACGGTTAGCTAGCCACTAAATCTCCCATAAGTACTTATTTGGTGATTTGATACTTTGGTTTTCATATTTTGATTATTTTTATTGTAATTTAATACTTAATTTGCGTTTCTATGTATATTATAAATAGCGGATAACTTTAAAATTGCAACCCAAATATAACTTGGTTGCATATCAAATTGGAGTCTTAAGTAGGTCGAAGCAATGTCAAAATTATATTTTAGTATTAATTTTTAGAATTACTATGAAGAAATCATATTGTTGTGTAGACTATATGAGAGGGGTTTTTTAACGGTTAAGTTGGGTTAACCACTAAGTTTTAAACATGTTCCTAATTCGGTGTGATTAGATCCAATGATCATTGTACGAGATTGGGTTCAATTATTGGTTCATTTCACCATTTTTTGAAATGTTAATGAATTTCTAGGGCAATGACATATGTCTACGTCTTAACATCTACACACAATACAATGTATAAGATTGGAATGAGAAAAATATTATTCGATTTTAAATTCCTACAACGAGATCCAAAATATGAATGACATATTTTCCTTCACAATTATTAAACTTATTTCTTTATAAAAAAATAGACAAGTATTGAAATTTGAACCAATGTATCTTAAAAGAGAAGACAAGAAATATAAGCATGATTTTCAACCCATTGGTCGAATAAGTTTAGCCCAAGCTGAGTATCTGTTAGAATGCTTGAGGCCGAGTTGGTTATCAACCCAAACTTAGCCGAACCAGGAAACCGACTCAAATTAGGAAATCAGGTCGATTCAACCAACTCATATGAGCACTGAGTCACTTCAAACCAATATCATTTTCAACAAATCTAATCACTAGCATTGTTGACATGTCGTCCTTTTCTTTATCATAGGCCCATGCAGTAGCGTACATCAACCACTCGTGTTCGGTCATCCCATAAGATCTTCTTCCTCCTTTAGTATCGGCAGGCAACAATAGAAACCTCAACCATCTCAAAAGCTAACAAGTTCCTCAGTAGTCAATTCCATTTTCCTTCCAGCCGCAAGGTCACAACGCCAATGAACCACATCTCATACAAAGAATAGCAAAAAGATTAGACGAACATGTATTTGAATTGAAACTTTGTGTGATTAATATAGACCAATGTCGTCATTTGTATATACACTTGAAATTGAGATGGAGAAAAAGAGTAAAAAAAAACATTGAGAATGGAATATGATATGCAATGCAAAGAAGGAAAGAAAAAACTAGAAAATGAAATGGAAAAAGATAAAAAAAGAAAATGGGAAGAAATTTAGAATTAAAGCGTAATTTCCAAGGGAGAAAAAAGTATAAAAAACTCAATCCCAATGAATAATTTATACTAAATCATCATTGTATCTAAATTTATCATAGAAATTTCATAAATATCTAAGCATAATACATGTCGAACCAATAAATTTTTTCATATACCTGGGTAAAGCTAGGCTAAACCAAGTTAATCTAATTTGTTCATTAATTCTTAACCCACTTGCTTAAATATGTCATTGGTGGAAATCGAGTGACAACCTTGGTCATAAGAAATTAGACTAAACAAATTTATTGCATATTTCTTAATGGGTTTTATATATATGGTGACTATTTCGGTGCACTCACAAAAATGAGTGCGTTCAATGCACCCAACTCAAAAACTAGTCTTAAGGTGTCAGATTTTGAATTTTAATTTGTAAAATTAGTGTAATATGATGATATAACATATGATGACAACTAATTAACGGATTACCCTAAGCCCTAGACCTCCAATTTTGAATTCTACCCCTAAACCCCAAATTGTAAACCCTAACCCTAATCTTAAATCTCTAAACTCTAAATCTTTCAAATTAAAGCAAATCTCGAGTGGTTTTTGTGCAAATTCATGTGCTTTATTTTTTCATCACATCATAAATGATGATTGACACCATTTTGACATGAATCACATGTTTAAAATGACGGTTATGAAGCGAGTGCATTGAATGCAACCAAAATAGTAGGTGCATTGAAGACGCCACCATATATACATATATACTCTCTTATTCACTACTAACCTTTGGAAATGCATGCAATATCAGTTTCCAAACTGTTTGTGAAAGACTGAGAGTAGGAGGTTTGCACGGTAATTCAAGGGACTTAACGTAGATTCGACAAGAGAACAGATACCCCTCTTGATTCCAGATTAACCTTCGAATGTATACAGAGGGAGAGATAACAATTGGGAGGTTACAAGGGGAAAATCTATGGAGAAGGGTAGATAAAGAACCCCTAAGTCCCCTTTCTAAGTGTAGTAAATGTGGTATTTATAGCCTCTCTGGGTTTGGTGGGCAAATCCCGATGACAAGACAAGGTCGTCAGAGACAGATACGCGGGCCCACTGACATTCCTTCCGTGGATTCAGTTACGCGGAACCTTTATGCGGGATCCACGATTGGCAGTTCCGCGGATCATATCGGAGTAGCGCAGTTTTTTGCGTAATTGAGCGGAAAGCCTAAGTGCGCCGCGTGGCCTTCTCGACCTTTACCCCTAACACAAACATATTTTACTCAAACACATTTATATAACAATGAGTG